GTTTATATTAACCAACAGTGTAGACGGTATACATTTATATTATGTACTGTTTATATTAACCAACAGTGTAGACGGTATACATTTATATTATGTACTGTTTATATTACTCTGCACTAGCAGAGTAGACGCTTTACATCCGTACCATGAACTTTTTATATCTCTCTACCGCTAAACGTGTTATGTTTGCACTATGTATTAAATCTTAGGTTTATGACAGAAAATATCGCTTTAATCGAGGGTTTCTAAGGGAATAAGCAACTCAGTCTAATCTTTAAAAGAAATAACGTAAGAAAAGTATATTTACTTAGCTATACTCACTACTAGGTCGATTTTTAATTTTGATCTACGAAGGTAGCTTGTATTGATCAGAAATCAATATTCGTTATCGACTAATACAAAGCCAAAACATTTTTCGTTAATGTTAGTAGCCGTAGAAGAAAGATAAAGACTAGATGCAACTTGAAATATATAAACAACTGACTCTCGTGTGTTTCGTACATGACATTTAGAGGATATCAGTAATACGTTAGAATTTTAAACGCTAGATTTTTTATTTGTTGTAATACTGTAGTTATTATGCTTATTTTCAGTATATTATCTGTGTGATTGCTAACTGCAACTTACCACGTTTAACATACCTTTAGTTTTTGTTAGAAATGTTACATTCTTAAGGACATGCTCTACCAGACAAAAATATGACATTTAAATAATGTTTTTTACCACTAACAGTCACATGCTAATTTTTCTGCTCAAACTGATCAAACAAACTTTGGATGGAACTACAAGTCTAAAGAGAAAAGTCCGAAATTACTAAATTTAATTCTCCTTTAAATTTTTTGTTCTTTAAGAATACCTAATTTTAGTGAAAAAATGCGTTATATTTGAGCCCCAAAATCTGAAATTGAAACGTATAACTAAAATTAAAAAAAAGTTAACAATTTATGAATTAGTTATAGGAATATAAAGCATAATAGAATTACAACTTGTACTATATTTTACCAATCTAATGTTTAATTACATCCTCCACGTTTTTATGCAATTACACCCAGTGATTCGATGAAAATTGAAACACTAAAACCTCTGAATCTAAACTTGTTAATAATGTTTAGCAAATGTTGAAAATAATGTCATACAAAGCACGTGTATTTAAATATGTTTAGAAGAACTATCACTTTTTATTTCAGCCTACAACCACCAATTTAAACGTGAAATTTAATTCTTGCGTGTAACTGCCAATAAGTTATAACGTTTTCAACTTATATCATAGATTCGTTCCCCATTACTTGTATTGTATGCTATAAATCAACCTGCTCAACAGTACAGGATATTTGGTTTTTTCGAATACGCTTAAAAGGCGAGTAAGAAGTTATATAGGTCGCTGTTAGTACAGCTTTCTTTAATTAAACAACTAAAACATAAATAGGGTACTGTGGCAGTAATGACTCCGACCCGAAGTAGAAATGTTTTAACAGTGCTGAAGGATATATCTTCAATGATCACAATATTGTAGAAGATTAACAGTGAAATACATGACATCAATTACGTTTGATAGGAGAACACGCGAATCTTGACACACGTCTCCAGTGACTTCACGTTTATGTAAAGGAATCACGTATGGATTTAAGGTGCTTTAAACAAAACTATTAACATGACTCATTTTACTTTATGTCATTGTGCACATTTCACTAACGAGGAAAGATAGTGATCAATAACATTACTTTCTTAGAGTGGCTGGCGAACCGTAGAAGGTTCAATTTATTAATGCATAGAAAGAGTTATGAATGACAATGAAAGTAGAAGGTAAAATAAAGATATAAGCAATATTTCTATAAGAACGTACAAGTTTTTGCATAAGTTTTCTTGTCATAAATTTGTTAAGCCTCGCCCGAAATTTTTGGTGAATTTATTATATTATTAACTTCTATCATTAGTAGAATAGATGTACTAACATTACATAGTTGCAAAACAATTTTAACTTGGCTTCCTCATTAGTACATACATATAGTCTACGTATATCTTCACACATATTTTGTTATAGGTTTTTAGGGTATGCAATATGAAAGTCATGTTCACTGTATGTTCACAAAATGTAGCTTTCTCATAACAAAGACAATTTTCCAAGTTGTTATTTTTTTGTTTTTACTCAAGATTTTCATTTAGCATCCAAGGGAATAGTTATCCCAGGGTCCTTGCAACACTCCGCTAGAGGGCATCATTTGCATGTCGATCTCAGGCAATAGGGAAGGGGGTAGAAACGATGACGTCATAGTTCCACAAAATGACAGGCGGACGTGTTACCAAAGACGACAACGCCATAGTTTCATGAAATGGAACCACAATAATGATGAAATCATTATACATGTCTTAACGTGTAATCAAAGGCTAGATTTAATACAGTCAATTTATGTATAAAACACAAATTCATTAGTTCTATATTTTATCATACTTTTTACATTTCCTCACCTTTTATAAGTAAATCACTTCTCATCCCGAAAAGGATGCTTATTTAAAATGCAAACTTATGGCATTTTTACTGTTTCTCTAGTTTGTCTTTATTCCTATAACTAATTACTAAGAGTAGTGTTTCTATAAATGGAAGATGATGAACTCATTGTCTCAATGTGTCAACAATTACTAGATTCAATTACATATAAAGCTATTATTGATTTAACATAATAACAAATTCTGGACACAATATTTCTTTTTAGCACTTTATTAATTAACTCACAATAAAGACTTAGCAATCTGATCTACATAAAATACACGTCTATTAAGGACGTAATTACAAGAAAACGTTTTGCAACAAAATCATGAACAAATATATCATTAATATCTTTGCGAGATACAAATTTAGATAGGAGTTTTTGTTTTGACACATGTCGACAACGATAATAAGCATAATGTATACAATATTGTCCACATACATACATATATGTTCCTTGTCCCTCTTCACTTCTTACTTCATGTATAAACTTGCTTTTTCTGTAATCTTATAGACTCCAGTCTTTTTCCTGATGTAATCATTCATTATTATTTCTTTCAAAGATATTCCCAGCATCCACCTTAACATTCTCATAACAGGTCTTTCTAAAATACTCTCCTCCTTTCTTCTTATGGCCCAAGTTTTTGCTCCATAAAGCCTAATTACCGTTTTGTAACTTTTACTCTTAAGCTTCAAAGGTATTTACTTCTTATGAATCACCCTTGAGACTTCCCTCCAATTATTCCATTCAACTTTTACTTTTATTCCTTACTTCCACTTCGCAGCCTCCTTCTTAACTATTTTTGGAACCTAGATACCTAAATATATTTAATTTTTTTCTATCTTAAAGTAGTTACTTACCTGAAACTTTTATATCCCCTTCTTCTGCTTAGAATTACATTCGTTTTCCTTTAACTCACCTTTCTCTAGATTCTTCTGCCATATCCTGCATCTTTTCTGAAACCTTTTCCCTGTTTCGACTGCTATATCCACTTGGCAACCGCTTTCTTTGTCTTCTTTTTGAATTATCCATATCTAGTTCTTTTGTATTTATCATCATTATTTGTTATTCCC